AATAATAATAATATAATAATGTGCCGTAAAGTACATAATTATAATAAACATTATTACAAATAAATTGTTAGTAGTTCTCTCTTGAATTTTAACAAAGTTATGCTTCAAGTCAAGAATTAGGAACTTGTATCGGCTTTACTAATCAAAATGAATGCCTTATGCCTTGGTATTAATGCATATGCTGAATCAATTATATTATTTTATGTGCTTAGAAATTAGAAATACTTGAACAGGCATGCTGAACGAAAGGCAGTGCGAATGCTTTAAGCAGCTGTTGGGCAGAGTATTTAAGACGTGCTTCAGTCAAGCACTTCGGGCCCTTGCTTAGGTCTAGTTGAACAGTTACAAATTATAGGTAGCTATAAATTACGAATTTAAATTACGTACAAGACTTTACATTTAATAGAAAAAAAAAACTTTAAACATAACTTAAATATTACTTTAAATGATTTTTACTTAAAGTAAGTAAATTGAAGAACAGCAAGTGGATGTGTTTAGGCACAATTGAGTTCACTATGAAGCACCGATTTGCTCTCTCTCTCTCTTTCTCTCCCTCTCTTGCTTCTCTCACAGCAAGTAGCCAACGATATCGTCATCGTCCTCCACGTTATCGTTGCCCGCAATTTGCCGGCGCAGCTCGCAGCGACCCAGCGCCTCCAGGTACGGCTGCAGCACCGACATCGAGCGTCACTGATGGTGCTGGTGCTGGTGCCTGTGCAGGGGCGATGGCGTCGCATGCAGGTTGGCCGCATGCTGGGCGGACGAGTTCAGAAATGGTGTGAGCAGCTCTATGGGCAGGGGGAAAATGATGGTCGAGTTCTTCTCTGCCGAGATGCTGCTCAGCGTCTGCAAGTAGCGCAGCTGTAGAGCCGATGGACTCGACGATATGATCTCGGAGGCCTCTTTGAGTGCACGCGACGATTTCATCTCACCCTCGGCGGCAATCACCTTGGCGCGTGCCTCACGCGCAGCCTCCGCCTCGGCGGCCATGGCGCGTTGCAGTGCCGTTGGCAGCGAGACATCCTTGCTGCAATAAATAGAGAGAATGCATTCAGAGATCTAAATTCCATTCCATGCGACTCACATTTCCACTCGCTCCACCTTGACGCCCCACGGGTCGGTGGCCTCGTCCAGGGACATTTGCATCGTATGCGAAATGGTCTCGCGCTCAGTGAGCAGCTCCGAGAGGTTGCGAGTGCCCAGCACGTTGCGCAGCGTTGTGGCAGCCAAGAGGCGTGTGGAGTGGCTGTAGTTGGAGACCTGAATAACGGCCTTCAGTGGATCACTGATGCGATAGTAGACCACTGCATCGACTGTCACCGTCACCGAGTCCTTGGAGAGCACCTCCTGCGGCGGCACATCGAACGAGACGGTGCGCAGATCCACCGGATAGTAGTCATCCACGCAGGGCAGCACAAAGAAGACGCCCGGGCCGCGCGCCCCGCCGCTGCGCAGTCGGCCCATGCGAAAGATGACCGCACGCTCGTACTCGGACACCACCTTGAAGCAAATGAAGACCGAGAAGGGAAACGTCAACACCATGATCAGCACCGATATTGCCGTGGCCAGCAGCTCCACGCAGCCCATCTCCTCATTTTCAGCTGCCAGAGAAGAGAAGAAAGCAAAAACCAAATCAAAAGGAGCTGCGGAATGCGTAACATTAATCGCAGCATTTCACAAGCAATTGAAAATCAATTGAAGACACATTTCATGACGTGCTCGCATGCTGTGTGGCTGGTGGGCGTGTGGGGTGTGTGGGGTGTGTGGGGTGGTGCGCCGTGTGGCTTGTGCTGCCGTCTGCCACATGTGCATTGTGGCACTTGTTGCTCGCGTTGCTCGTGTTGCTAAAAACGCAAATGTTTTCTCTATGCCGCCTCGGATTTCCGTTTGTTGTTCCACTGAACGCGGACAGCCGGACAGATTTTCATTGGAAATGGGCACAGACACTGGCCACAAACAGAGATCACACGAAATCAGTCAAAACACTTGGCGTACATTTAATAAAAAAACATGGCTAAATATTTATTCTACTGGCCAAACAGACTCTGGAGGTAATGGCTATACCATCATTATATGCACAACCACCAATGTAATTGTGTTGTTAGGAATGACTATGATTTCGATATGACTCGATTAACTCTAAGTCTGTTCGCTGTGTGGCTTAAGCATTAAATTTTTTATGTATGTATGTACAATACTTGCATCGGCAGGTATAAGTATATTGAAGATATGAATATGTGGAAGTATATATTGATTCAAAAAGAAATTTCTTAGATATCTCTATTCTTATATCCATTATGAAGTTTGTTCATTTCAATATACAATTTTGATACTTTTTTTTT